AAAGAATGCTCCTGTGTGGAGATATTGGTGGGTGTGGGCGTGGATGGGTGTGGGGTATGTGTGTGGGATTTGATGTGTCTCGGTGTAGGTGGAAGAGAAGGCGCACACCCACATCCACACCCCAAGACAGTGTGGCTGTAGATGGGCGGACGTGTGTGGTAACATGGATGTTGGTGGGTGTGAGTTAGTGTCCTGCGGGAACGACTTTTCTGATTCCCATTCCCTATTCCCATTCCCTAAAAAATTTTTTGTTCCCATTCCCACGTTCCCATTCCCATAATTCCCATAAGGTTTTTCAAGGCTCTATTCATCTATGCGAAAGTGCCAATGGCATATATGTATACCAGTTTCTCGAGACATCACGTTTTGCGCATCGCGACGTTGTTACATAGTGCTTCACTTCTTTTCTTTTCCTGTTTTGTTGTTCTTGTTGGCATTGATTAAGCAGGTGTTCCTTCGTATATGCACTATGCATATACATTCAAGCTGGTGTCCCTTTTCATTGAAAAAGTGTTCCATCGTCTAATTAGAAAATGTATAGTCAACATAGTGTTCATCATATAGAATGTTTCTCTTATAGTAAAGTGTTCCCCTCCCCTCACCCAAATAGAAAATTAAAAAAATTATAAATAAATATTGAGATTATTATTGATAAATTATTTGTTTTTTGTTGTAAATAACCTTAATATTTATTTATAACTTTTTTACTTTCTATTTGGGGGAAGGGAGGGAAACACTACCGTAAGAGGAATATTCTCTCTATATGATGAACACTATGTTGATTATACATTTTCTTATTAGACGATGGAACACTTTTTTAATGAAAAGGAACACCAGCTTGAATGTATAGTGCATATACGAAGGAACACCTGCTTAACCAATGCCAATATTTGTGATGATTAAATTACGATGTGGTTAAGAACAAATAAATAGTATATTTTTTGTTGATACACATTTGCTATGTTTCTGTTAATTGTATATGAATAAGAAAAGTTATTGAAAATAAACAGTTATCAGATAGAAATATTTTTATGTGTATTAAAATAAGATAGAAAGAATTTTGGGAACGTCAATTTTTAATTCTGTTCCCATTCCCATGTTCCCATTTCCTAAGTCTAAATGGGAATTCCCATTCCCATTCCCATTCCCATGGGAATGGAAAAATTAGGGAAAAGAGTCGTTCCCGCAGGACACTAGTGTGAGTACGGGTGGGAGGTGCATGGGGTGGGGTGTTGGTGTGGATGTAGATATAGATGAATAGAAGAACCACACCCACCCACACGCACAATAACACCCCATACCCACACCCGCACCCTAGCTGCAGATCAATTATAGAACAGGACAGAATAATCGTTTAAGAGGGCCCCCTCAAAAAAAAGTTAGTTTTCGTCAGAATGGTCAAGATTGAGATAACTACATAGGAAGATAGCCTGTCATTTGCTCTTTCATAAACGATAAAAACTTTTCTTCGATACCTCCTTTTTTCCGAAAAATTTTCAAAATTTTTGACAGCCCCTATTCGAAAAACCAGCGGTTTTTCGAAAAATCCAAAAATCTTTTTCGTTTTTTCTCAAAATGGTGGTCGAACGACGCATTTCCAGCGAAAATCAACTGTAACCCGATATAAAGTCAAATATTTTTTTTTTTTGTTTGAAAGAGCATCAAAAACTGCAGTGCCTATGAGAGCCCTTTTTTTGATAAAGCTTTGTTATTATTATATTGATAAGCAACTTTATAATATAAGCGCCAGTTTTTTTGAAAGGTTTTCAGTGATTGAACTTGTCAGACCTTTTTTTCTCAAGAAAGATAAGAGTAAAAAAAAGGGCCCTCATCAACACTGCATTCGGACATGCTCTTTCAAACAAAAAAAAAGAATCAAGCATATTGAATGAATATCCACAGAGAATTTTTGGAGACACGAAAAGCTATTTTTCGACCATTGTTTGGTTCGTATCTCATTTCTACATCAGGATAGGAGGCTGAAAATTTTACCACAGACGTCCTTCTACAGCTCCAACATATCCTCAAAGTTTCATGACATTTGGATGTTCCTGGGACGAGATCGATTTTTGAAGAGGGCCCCTTAATGACTCATCAATAAAGGCAGAACGAACATCGAACGGCGCACAAGGTGTATTATAGACACAGCGTCATCTCCTAGAAACTGTCTACGACAGATTTCTGTCGATGTGGTATCAAAGATGACGTAAGTATAACTAACGTTTTTATGAAGCACTGAGCGTCAACGATTCACAGGGATAATTAGAAAAAAACCGCTTTTGTGTCTATTTGTTCGATTATTAACAAAAGGTCGGATGATCACTATGAAACATCTACTGTGAAAACATAGATCATTTTATTAGTTCAAGTGCAAAGCAGATATGCAGAAAAATGAAACAAATTGCATGTAATTTTCACAGAGCCATGCTGTATCTTGCTAAATTTACATTCCACATCACAATAAAATACATAGTTTAATGATACCAAGCATTTAAGGACCATGTAGTTTCTTGCTAAGCAAAGCTAAATCTGTTCGATCGTGCACATGAAGATGATAGGGAACATTAAAGCATTGTTAATAAAGAAGTTAATATGTAAAATATGACATAATATTGCACAAATATCACTCGATCACTCAAAATCTTCTGATATTGTTGTATTAGAGCATGAAACATCTGTATAGGCAAGCGACATTCTCGTGTGTAAAATTCTAACGGTAATACAAATATAAGATAAGTCGAAGTGGAAGGAATGAAACGAAATATCCAGTCAGAAATAGCCATGCATCATTTGTTGATTTCATACATTTGGATACAATTGTGATGGTGAAACGTGGTATTCCGAGAATCACTAATACAGTAGGATAGGTTAAAAGATACTTTTGTCCTTGAATTTGTTGCATTAAAATTTGCTCATAAGTTCGATCTCTGTATAGTTTTAGCGTGGCACGACATTTCCGCGCATCTTGAGTGCGAAGGTAAGCTTAGTATGATTCAAATAGTGCGAGGACTCGCAAAATTGAAGAAAGGCGTTTGATGATGTTGACTTCTGTTGAAAATTTGGCACCAAAGTGTCGTGCGCGGCAATATCGTGTAATCCATGTTTTTACTATCTTAATATGTCGGAAGATGACTTATCAAGGCGCTTTTGATGAAAAAATCTTTGAACCACTGGTGTTGTACAAGTTTCAATGCGCTGAACTACTACCAGCTTATCTATAATGACCAGTCGAACTTCAGTCTCGGATGCTTCGTTTTTAGTGGTGTTGAAATATTGAAAGTCCTGTTTATCATTTGACATTATGGTCGAAATCATGGTTTTGGATGGTCTGTAGTGAATTTTCGCCGCAGTGGCTAGAATTATATGTTGCAGTGTTTTCATCATGTGACTGCATTTAAAAATTTTTTCAGTTGTATGATATGAATATTTCTCTTGTAGAAGCGTCCTTCCTTTTAGCTGTATGGCTTTTTACATATTCTTATTGCGTTCAAGTATTAAATAAAGTGAATGACGCATATAACTTCAAAAAATTGTTTCTTTCCAGAGATTTTGATTCTTTCCTGTAACATGTAAAGTATGAAATTTCTTGGGACATCAAGAAGTAAAATAAAGTTCATGAAATAGTGGAACGTATTGCTTTTTGAGTGTTCGTTTATTTTAAGAAGTGCACCCAAATTTCGTTCACCTGAAGAGCATAGAAAGATGCTTTATATTTATTGTGCTTATCAACTTTAGCCACCTCATTTCCAAACAAGTACGGTAGAAAATTTATCAGATTTTATTCTGTATATATGTTGACTGACTCAGCATGAGTCGCATGCAGATACACTTCGTAGAATATTTTCTGCCTTTGTAGCCTTATGAAACGAAAACTGACATGTATCTAGATCGCTATCACACTAATTCGAACTTGGACTTATTGTGTTCTTTTTATTTTTCATTCCATATTACAAAATAACAATGCTCTATTATCTATTAGGTATAAATAAGTCAATAGGAAAATAAACTCTTGGATGATATCTCTTTCTTTGTTTTGCTTCTAGATGAAAAGAGAATTATATCTAAATAAAAAGTGGTAAAGTAGATGAAAGGAGAAAGGACAAAATCTTAAGAACGCGCTTCACTGTATGCATCTTTATCAGTAATAAGAATAGCTTCAGTCACTTCATGTATGTAGATGATAAGAGAAACATCTATTAGTATATTTACTTGTTCTTTTTTAAACATCTTTTTCTGCTTATATAAAGAGATCTTTGATAAAAAGACGCTTACAGACTATTTGTTTGTTTTCTTTCAAAAGGTACTCTGACTATTAATGACTTGTGAAGTTCATTTATATATTCTTCGTAATGCTAAAAACAGCGACCATTTCAAAATTCAGGCAATATTTGACAATGACATCAAGCTCGATTTTATTCCCTGTGCATTGCTCGGTGATCAAGATAACACTGGTATATTTATATATCAATTACAATACACTCTAAAACGTGACGAAAATAGTACGCTTAGTATAGAACATGAAAATATGTGGAGGCGAGTAAACTCTTATGAATTGTGTATCCTGTGGAAAATGATTGGAACTCAACACTTTAAGGCATCGAACCAGCGTCAAGTAGAATACCCGCAAGCAACAGTTTGGCATTATGCACTACTCGATGTTGTTTTCGAGAAATCATTTATGCTGAATCCCCCAGGTAGGATTTTGTCAAAAACAATAGAAAAATCATGATTCAACTACAACGAAAGTACGTGTGATTCTCTTTTATTTAGGATCTTCTGTGCCACTTTGGGATCAACTCTGCTTATTTACTTATTTCTTTATTCAGCATCAAACATACGATGTTTGCAAGTTTATTTTCGATCAATTTATACATTTACGTCCCGATAATGACCTCCGTAGGGATCAACTCAGTACTTTCTTTCGAACAAGCAATAATTACATCTCTTGTATCATGAAAGATTCGAACAGATGTGTGACTGATACTGAAACATTGATTCGAATGATTGGAATCTTACGTATTAATCAAAATAATATTGACATAATTCATTTAAGTTCAAAGGAGCACGTACCATGTATCTTGAGTAGTATTTTCAAACATTGTGATGGTGTTATTGATTCAGTGTCTCGTGACGATTTCGACTTCTTCGAAAATTCTGTTGCGACATTCTTATGTTTGAAATTATGGTTGACAACAGAGTTCATAGAAAATAAGAAGGATACAAGTGGTGAAACTATTGAATTGATACGGCGTATCCGACAGGAAGAAAAGCGTCACAAAGTCGTAAGTGGCATGTTGAAATTACTTGTTCAAATCAACAGTCCAATTAAAGGATCAAAATGGACTGAATTATTTAGCTTAGCTGGACCAAATCAACTTAGTCTCGAACATCTTGAACTAATTACATCAATCGAAGCTTATTTGAACTATCTGATTCCAATTGCAAGTACAACACAACCGAAAAATGTCGGTGGGGAGAGCAGCGCTGTTCAATTAGTTCAAGATTTTGTTGCAAAGAGCCATTTTTCACGTAAGTCGACATAAAAGTAGTTTTCGGATTAATCACTCATCACTTCGGCGGAGAGTTACAGAAAAAAGCAACTTTTTAGAGCAAGACCGGCACTGCTGTCATAGAGTAGCTGAAATTAGTGTTGTTATTTACCCTTATCGCGCATGAATACTTATGTACAGTACCTATTAGATATCATTGACCATTGTTGACTTTATTCCACTATCTACAACATAGTGGACATCTGAGTGCGATGCAAATACTAAGCCTTTGATTTGTTTTAGCAACATGTTGGTTAGAGATCTACATTTACCATTATTCGACAGGAAAGATCAACATGATTATATTCATGTTTAATCTTATTTGTTCAAGGATACCAAGTTTGATGACAAGATTCGTTTTTGAACTTAAAAAGCATTTAACACCTTTCAAAAATTTTTTTCAGAGGTACCAAAGACTTTAATATGATAGTTAAACTGAAGCCAGAATAGCATTTGGTGTGATTCTTTGTATAATCAATAGTTGTTCTTTTTATAAGAAATCTATAGGGAATTTTAAGGGATCCTGAAGAGATTAGATATTGTGCCATACAAGTGCATTATGATGTATAAAAAATATAATATTCTTCGCTGATCTTCTTGTAAAAATCTTTATTTGAACTCGGATTAATTGTTTCTTCTTATCGAAAAAAAATGTAAAAATCACAGAAAAATCACTGTTTCTGTTAATTACTTCATTCATATCTGAAAAGACGGTATCTTTGCTCTTTTAGTTGATCTCAAAAGTACAGAGTTTCTACTCAAATTTGAACAAGGTGAATTAACAATTCACGATCAAAACACTGCTGATTTCGAAGAAATAATTCGTTCAGAAATCAAAAGTAATCATAAGTTGAGAAAAAAGATTCGCGATTACTTATATGAAACACCTATCACTATCGAAAATTTTACAACCGTTAGAACAATCATCAATTTTGAACCACATTCACAACTATTATATAACTTCGACCGTCAAAAGTTTCTACTTGAATCACTAACGAAAAATGTGTCCGAGTCGTCTCATTTTTATTGTGAATGGTTTTCATGTTTTATTGTGAACGGTAGCTACTCAATGAATGACGATCAACAACGACAAGACTATGAACAACTTATAAAACGATGGGCATCATGTTTTGAGGAAAATCATGACAAATTCGATTCGATGTTCAAAGAGCTTGATAAATTATTAGAGTCTTTTCAGTCGATGCCGTACAATAGTGATAAAAACAAATGCTGTGAAACCTTCGTTCATCATATGGTTGATATTTGTTGCAAACCAGGTAACGTTGATACAAATTTTACTTTGAAATATTAGAAAAGTGATTTTCTAACCATATATGTGCAGAGGACAAGATTTTTCGTTCTTCTCTATCGTGTCCTCTGCACATCTCTGTTTACAACTAACAATATATTTATCAGTATTGGTAACATTATGATAGTCTTGTTTGTTTAGAATTAACCTTTCATTTACTTCAAAATGGTCTTGTTCACGTGAGAAATGAATACTTTATTGACGCATTCAAAAAGAAATTCGTCGACAAAATTTTAAGAGAAAAAGAACCAGATGATTTAAAGCGCTTAGACTCGTATCATAATCCATTGAGACGACTGTTTGAAATCAGTAACATTGACAAACAAAACAATACACTTGTGACTGGCTTGATTGATCTATTATTGAAAAACATTCCTATATCTGAAAATGATATTTTCGAAAATGCTGTTATACGGCCTATGAAATCAACACTCATCTATTATGTTTTATTTCATGGTTGTTCTCGAAAATTATCTATTTATGAAAAAGTCATTGAACTGATGGATACTTTGTGGATCAAGTGGGATCAGCAGGGAATATGTGCTGATCATATAATGATTTGGAAAAAACAAACAGCGGAACAACGAATAGTAGCGAATCAAATGTGGGGTGTTATTCAAGTAATTAAAAACAGAGAGCGATCTTTTGAAGTAATGTTAGAGAAAGCCTATGTCGAGTTTGAGAATAAGAAAAGCATTTGTGAGAAAACTCGATTTTGTGTCAATGAATATTGTCAAAAAGCCTGTGATAAACAAAAGTTTATCGATGAAATACAGCTTATGGAGAAGAAACTGATGACAAACGGAGTACAGTCTGTTGAAATCCCTGAATCTATCCAACAAATTCATAATTACGTCGGTCAACTTATTCCATATACAAAATGTCAAATATGGCAAAACTTTCTCAAACAGAATGAAGATAAATTAATTTGTAAGCTTTTAAATTTTCATAATATATCAATAGAATAAAACTGGCGTATCATCGTTTTAGTGGCGTCAGAAACACAAACATTTTGTGATTCAATTTTGTTCAGATCTACTGAACTTTTCAATACATTCGTAGACGAAGTTAGAAATATTTGTTCAGATTGGAAAAGTCAACCAATCTCACAATTGCTCAAAGTATTTCCAAATATGCACGATGATTTAGATCCATTAAAACAGAAACTTGATATTGACATCACTAAATTTTTTACACTTTTATTTGAATATAAAAAATCGTCAAGTGATTTTAACCATATTTGCCAAGGGTATTTAAACTTACCCAATATATTCGAAATACAACTCAATGATCATGAAACTACACTAGGTGATATGTTGCGAATTGATGAAAACACGACTGGAGCAACGTTCTCAATGGTCTATCAAAAATTTCAGAAGCATTATTATGAACGTTATTCATATTTGTTCAATAAATTAGTTTCATACTTTGGTAAATCATTTGAACTCATACAATTTCTTGATTTAGTGTCCGCATCTGATATTGATAATTTACGTGAAGCTGTCAATGATTCTGATGACACATTGATGAATACAAAAGCAACGCTCGATTTAGTCATGTTAAAGACATTTTTAGAGAAGATCCGTTGTGAAATCAAGAAATGCAAACAAGAAACGTCACCGAATTTCGTATTAGATCGACTAGTAGGTTGTTTCGAATCTGCTGCGAAACATGATCAAGACAAGAGTATATTTGAATGTTTCGAATCTTGTCACCCACTATTACCTAGTATCGAACAGATTCACAGTAGTTTAACTGAAAGGGGGCTTATGAAAAGAAAACAAATTTTAAGTATTATGAAAAATACATCATTCAACTTTGTTAATTTGGGTCAGGAAGGGAATAAAAAGTTAATTGGATTTAATTATCATTATGATGTGACAATACATTTCAATGAACTCATTGATCTTCGGGATCGTGCACGACTTGTAGAATATTCCAACATAATTAAAACACAAAATGATACAAATCAATCTATTAGTGTAATATATTCATTTGTCTCTTTTGTTAATGCTATTGAAAACATAATTAAAAATTTAACACAACTCAACATGACTGGCTATCCTTCTATAGAGACTCTTCTTGAGTTAAACAAAACTTTTACATGTATCAATAGCACCTTCGATGAATTAATTGCATATGAGACAAAAATTGGAAAACTATTAGTTGAGTGGGAAGATCAATTGTATGAGTTGTACAAAGAACACATTGAATTAGCCTATTTCAAATACAATCAGGTATGGTCAATCGAAAAGTATCTACAAAATCGGACCAGAGTCACTGATAATGCTTATCATTTACTGAAGTATATTGGCATACAACCTGAACTGATTCCAAATGATCTTTTAATCGATGTAAAAGAAGATCCAATCAATCGTCTTAAAAATATTGGAAAACTGTTATCTGTTCAAATCCATACTGAGATAGTAACAAATGAGCACGAATACAAAGACAATAACAGGGTTCTGGTAGTCAAAACATCCGAAGAGGGTGTTATGCGTGCTATACTATCGCTTTTTAAGCGTGTTGAAGTGCCAGCTCGAGTTAACCAATTGTTTAGCTGTACAGAAAAAACAACTTGGATGGAATTAAAAGCATTTGCTTATCGATGTTTTTATTCGAAAAAATTTCATCTGTTGATTCGACCTGAGCTGTTAACAGTATCGATTCAAGATAAATTTATTGAACTTCTACTTCAAATAATAAATTTAGACTCTGGTCGTCGGTTTCAATTTGGAGTGATCACGTCATCGGACGAGAAAAATCAGCCATTGATTAATAGTTTACGAACACTCGAGCTTCTTCATCCAATATATGATCATCAAATGTTGAATAAGCATGACCTCAAGAAAGAAACAGAAAAATTCCTTGGTAAAAACTGTTACCTTGTTACGTCGAGTATGGCTGGCCTTGGTAAATCGACTCTTATACGTAACCGAATTCAAGAATCTGGTAAACAATATCTTAAATTTCCCATTAGTGGCCATATTGATTTGGAAACTTTGGTTGGTCGTCTCCGTACTTGTATAAGTCAATCATCGACTCAAGAACTAGCGATTCATATCGATATTGGCATCGTTCTTGATATTAGCAAATTGCATGAATTCCTATATTGTATTTTACTCTTTCGTAGTTTTTGCTATGGATTACTAGCGATTAATCTTCTGGCTGAAGCACCAATATATATCGAGCTCGATTCATCACCACAAATGACCAGTCTTTATGAAAAACTTACCATTTTGGAGCACTTACAAAAAGTTGACATTCCTCACATAGAATGGAAGCAGATGAATATGAAATGTCTACCAGGAATTCAATTGGTTGCTAACTATCTTCAAGTAATCCAAGACAAGAGTATTAGCCAAGAAGAAATCAATGAAGAAAAATTGGTTGAACTCGATGCAGTTACTTGTTCTAAACTTTTGCTTGAGCAATTCAGTCTTAAAGATGACCGAAAACAAATAAGTTGGACAAGCATAAAAATATTAGTAACAATATATCGTTATCTATTTTTGGGTTTCTCTAAATGTGAATACTTTTTTCTTGAACGCCCGAAAGTAAGCCAACTTCGCATAGATATACTTCAATATCTACTAAATTCATCGAAACAGTTTACATCTTTCTCAGTTGAATCCGTACGAAAAAATCAACGTTCAGCGAGTGATGGTATCATTCAACTCGATGAAGCTATTATTCGTTGGGATAAATTACAACCATTTACAGTTATATTCACTGAGTGGAATGACCCATTATTTGTCTATAAAAATATCAACGATGTACCACGTTCACTGATAGATACAGTCGTAGCACCCGTTCAAGCAAATATTTTTTATCGAGTTCTATTCTCTAGCAGACTAAAGCATGAACAACAACAACGAGAACAAGCGCAATTTCCTGACCATAATCAACTCAAACATGAAGACTTTTTCATGAGACTTGCAGCATTATCAAAAAAATATTATAGCAAGCCAGTTTGTAATAGTTGTTTTAAGCAATATGAAGATACAGATCAGACATGTGCAAGCTGCGGAAATAAGAGTCAATTACTTCGACCGAAAACAGCTGAAGAATTGGATATCAAGGATTTTCAAATGAAAATAGCAAATCAACTCGAGAAAGAATATGTATGGACAGCAGATAATTATATCAAAGCTCTTCTGATATATTTACGAATACAATGCCGCCTTCCAGTTATACTTATCGGTGAAACAGGTAATATTTACTACCTATCCATTGATTTTCTTACTCCTAAATCATATTGCATTGTGACCAAGTGTATAGATTACATACAACATTTTCGAGAAATAGTTAAATCATTCATAAAACTGTGATATCTGATAAAATAGCGTCACTTCTTCGATAACGAAAATTTCAGTGTTTGGTAAAGTGATTAATTTAATATAAATTACATAACCCACATGAAAACGTGTTTGTCTGATCTGAGAAGCCCTATTGTTACTCGAATAGTAACTTTTTTTCTTATCAGGATGTGGCAAAACGGCATTGATACAATGTTTATGCGAAAAGATTTTACATGACGAACTGGTAGTTTTTCGTGTACATGCTGGTATTACAAATGAAAACATTGTTGAAAAAATGATCGAGTTTGAAATAAAAGCACACGAATCCTTGAAGAACAATAAAAACAAACGATTCTGGGTGTTTTTTGATGAATTCAATACAACACCATGCATCGGTCTATTTAAGGAAATGCTATGCGAACGTACACTTCACGGAGAACAGTTACCAGATAATATGCGATTTTTAGCAGCGTGTAATCCACAGCGATGGAAAAAGTATAATAGTTGTTTTCAAGATGATATCGGCATCAAAAAGGATTCGTACGATTTTCAACGATCAAACAGCTATTTAGGTAAAGAATCGCTCATATATCATGTATTTCCTATTCCAGAAGCCATGCTTGAATATGTTTGGGATTTTGGATTTCTTGATGGAGAAACCGAAACTGCATACATTCGAGCAATACTAAATAAATGTGGCCGACTTTTGAGTTCCGGAGCGCTGTACGATAGCACAGTGAAGCTCGTGGCCGCATCGCAGCAGTTCTTTCGTAGAAACGAAGATGCGAGCAGTATATCGTTGAGGGATGTCGCTCGTTTCTGTCAATTTTATAACTGGTTTTTAAATTATCGTGTTAAACCACACTCTGGTCGTGTTTCAAATTATGACGAGATACATGAAGCAAGCTTACTCGCTCTTCTTCTTACGTATTATCTTCGACTTAGTGGCTCTGACTCGAGAAGGTCTTATTTAAATCATATTGAAGTAATTCTCAAAGATAACATGAAAAATGTCACCAATATCTCAAAATTTTTAACAGATTTACTACAAAATGAGCAAAAGCAACTGATTGACCACATCGAATCACCAGCAGGAACTGCCAAAAATCGAGCACTTTTGGACAATATTTTCGTTCTGTTTGCATGCATTTTGAATCGAATACCAGTGATTCTTTGTGGTAAACCTGGCACCAGCAAAACGTTGGCTGCGAACATCGTCCTAAATAATCTCAAAGGAAAAAGATCGAGTGTACCATTTTTTCAGGAATTACCTGAGTTAATTCCTGTTTCATATCAAGGCTCAAAAAACTGTACCTCTGAAAGTGTTCTAAAAGTATTTGAACGTGCTGAGAAATATCTTGGCGTCGAAACAAGTAGTAACATTTTACCTGTGATAGTTTTTGACGAAATCGGCCTGGCTGAGCTATCTACGCATAATCCGTTGAAGGTCTTACATAGTAAATTAGAAATTGAAACATGTAAATATGGTTTTGTTGGTATATCGAATTGGCATCTCGATGCAGCAAAAATGAATCGTGCACTGTATTTGGCTTGTCCAGATCCAGACAAAGATGAACTTAAATTGACAGCTGAGACCATCTCATCCTCATTACTCAAAGATCGAACCAAAAATACTGCGATCGATGATTCCGTTGTTCGAAACCTTGCTGCTGCTTATTTCGATCTACAGGAACACTTGAAAAAACACTCTGAATACAATAACTACTTTGGCCTGCGAGACTTTTATTCTCTTATTAAAGGAGTTGTGAGTGATATAATCAATTCACCCAACCCACAAGAACCACATAGAATAGTTCGAAGGCAACTCGCGATTAACTTTGACGGTGTTTTCGATGGTTCAGAATATTTATGGCAGAGATTTTGTCATTACACTAATCAGGAGGACTTTGTAGACTTTGAGAATACGCCGATATTCACGGAAATGGTAGCTCAGTCTCTCACAAGCCGTAAAGGTCGATATTTAATGTTGATTGGTGAGAGTGAGATTATGCTTGATTATGTGGAACGATATATCAAGAGGAGTCAACAATCGACACTTACACTGGTTGGAAGTTCTTTACCTGGTGATTCAATAGCGGGTACTACGTACAGTGAACAATATAATCGAAGAGTATTAATGGATATTGTTCTTCATGCTGAAACAAACATTACTTTAATAATGCGACGAATGGACCACATCTATGCTAATCTCTACGATCTATTCAATCAAAATTTTCACACATCAGGGCACAGAAAGTATTGCCGCATTGCGTTCGACAATCTCAATTATCAACGGGTTCCTATTCATGAAGATTTCTTTTGTATTATACTGGTTGAACGAAAAGATCTAATAGAAAATGATCCTCCTTTTCTTAATCGTTTCGAAAAACATGTTGTTGATAGAGATTCTCTTATTCATCGTTGTTATACCATAATTGCATCAAATCTATTACAATGGATTGACAGTTTAGCTACATACAGTTTAAATAAACATTTTCCTCAGCGAAAGAATCTATTTGTTGATTATAATCCAGATAATGTTCGCCTCTTAGTTATGGATGCATTTGATTCTTTAAAAATATCTGAAGATTATAGTGAAAATCAAAGAGATATTATTATTGAATTTTGCAAAGAAAAACTTATTCGAACGAGTTCATTTGATCTTCCTCTTCTTCTGTCGTGTCATATAAAAAATAATGACAAGTTGAAAATGTTAATAGATCAATATTATAAAATACATAAACAACTTTCATTTTCAAATATAATTGATCAAGCATTAGAAGAAAAAATGATTCCAAATCAAGTCATTTATACTTATACACAAATTTATGATAAAATCGAATATTTAAATTACAATAGTCTTGTAATGGAAATAAAAATAGGCGGTTTTAAGAGCGAATTCGAATTAAAAACAAAAATCAAAGAGCATTATCAATCAAAAAATAAACGTTTATTACTTATTCGTGTTGATTATCATCATGAATACAAACATTTACTTTTTCTTAAACATTTGATACAGAATGGAAGCATAGA